AGATGGATAAGCATACTTCAAATCGAGTCTTGAGCATGCCCCTCAGGAGTCGCTCCATGCCAACAATAATAATACTAATAATAATAGAAAATTACAAATAAAGACGCAACACAGATAACATGTCCTTTACAGAACAGAAACAATTTGTCATTAGGAAGTCCTTCAATTTGCTTTTGAAACAACAAATTGTTTCCCAGCTTTTTATTTCGTTGGGTAATGAATTGTGAATCCGGGGAGCCATAGCTCTAGTAGAATTATAATGAATTTCTGTTCAACTGAAAGAATATAAAAATTGTCTTGTGTTCGTGTTTCGTATCTGGATTTGTTCGGCGTGAAGTTACCAAAACTTTTCTTACGCAAATGCAGAATTCAAAAATTACCAGCGATAGAAGCGTAAGGATTTTTATATTCTTGAAGTGATCTCTACAGGATGAGCGTTTAAAAACCCCAACTATAGTACGAGTAATGCGTTTCTGTGCAATAAAACATCTGATGATGAGATGCATAGGCCCTAAAAGCGCACTCCGTATCTTATTCTGACTACTGACTTTTTAACAGTACGATAGGTTAGTTGATCGCGATGTCGTGTGTTATAGTCGTGGTTTCGTGGTGATACTTCATTTTTACTGAAATGATACTTCACGTTTGTACAATAGTAATATAATTGTCTGATATCCATAACTTCACTTCCTTCATACAGGAGATCTGACGAGAAACGCGAATTTTAAGACATGATTAACTTCATGAATTTCCTTTGTAATATGTTGACGCCCAAGTATTTGATTTCTCTCAGGGAATCAATTTTTAGTTCCTTCCTTGTCCGCCGACATCCAAGAGTCGCACATGGACAATTATTGGATATATTGCAGCTGAAAGGAAGAAAATTTGTTATTTTTTCAGATTCACTGTCAGGAGCCTTTGGTCAAACCATTTTTTGAGCAAGTGAAAATCTGTTTCTACTTCCTTTTTCAAATCAAGGCAAGTGTAATGGCACCAAAAGGTCTCTCAAACGAATGAAACATTTCGATGATATCTGACACACACTTTGTTTTATTTTAATTTGGAGATAGAAAGCGCGTAATGAAAAACCCTTTATTTTTCAACCGAATTGGTAACAGATAGCTATTCACAAGCCTTGTGTGAACCATTCTGAAATCGTTATCGATTTCATTCAATCAGATTGTTTAAAAACTATAAAATAACACCCCGATCGCAATGATCACGTCGACACCCTTTCAATCCCCTTTCAAATTGACCATATAGATTATCGGAAAGTTCATAAACTTGAATTTGATAACTTCTTTTCATTCCATTGAACTCCTTTTCATTCCATAAAACTCCCGATACGAATGAATTGAAACGAATATTGCTGAGGCGGCATTGTCGAAACTTTCTGGTGGTTTTGATTGCCAGTTTGGAAGTTTTTATCGCGACGCAGCTCGTTTAAGATTATTCGAAGTCTTTTAACACGGTAGCAAAACTTTTTGCATTGGAGTTACTCGCGATTCCAATCTTGTTGTCGGAAGTGTGCAGGGCAGGCTTGTGGAAGTGTTCGAGCCCATTTCAATCAGGCAATCGGCTAATGTATCTCAGTTTATCAATTAGTAGCAAATGTAGCTCAACCTGATAGCAAATTATCAAGATATTACAGAACTTACATTTGCTCTTCATGATCTGTATCTGTAGAGTAGGGAGAGTGAGTGTAGGTCCACAGTACTTAGACCACATCCTCCCGAGGAGTTGTCCTCCTAGGTCATCGTCCATTCTGTCCTTTCCAGGAAGATGGACAGGTCACTGGGAGGTATCTCCTTTATATCGGCAGGTGTAGGACAAGACTCGCCGAACACACACTCTCTTATTGACGATAACTCCGGAAACTCGCAAAAAACATGGCTGACAGTCTCATCTTCCTGTTCACATCCTGCCTAGAGGTGTGCCCCCTACCTCCATATTATGGAGGTGTTTTCTTAGTTGTAGCCAGTGGCCAGTTAGAAATCCTATTGTTAAGCGTAGATTTTTCCTGGTCATCGCCAGATAATTCTTCGGCGCCAGCTTCCCAGGGATTGAGCATTGGTGTAACATTTGGCTGGTTCTGCATTTGTCGAAGTCATCAGGCCGTAAGTGCCACTGGGTCGTGAAATTCATTGTCCAGCCTGTTTCTTAGATGAATGCTCTTCATTATGTTTCGAATCCAAAATCATATTGTGACTGTCGTGCGAAGCAAAGGAGTCAGCAAGGCGTTTCTCTTACAACTCTTACATGCCTTTTGCCATTGATCTAACGTCACCCAGTTTGCCGTTGGTGATATTGGAAAGAGATTCTGCAAATTACTATGTGAAACAGGTCAGGATTCTGCCATGAAGTTAAAATGCTCATTATGCTTATCACCACAAAAGTGAACACACTAATTTGGCACTGACGAATGCTGATTAGCTGGAACATAACACTGCAGGTTCTCCTTTTGATTCTTCTGGAGTTTTGACAATTTCGAAGGAATAGATTGATAAAAATCATCTTTTGTTTGTTTCTATTGAACTATCACACTCTTATGCTGAGAAATGTCATAGTCAGGAGCTATCTTCAATGGAAGTTGCCCTCTTAGCTATAGAATCTTATAAAGTTTCTCCTCTCCGTCTGAACCATAGTAGTAAAGTACCAGGCTGACTAAGTAATCCACGTCCAGTGGCAATATAATTAGATAATAAGGACCAACAGGTCCTGAATATCATGAGATGTACCAAAAGAGAACAGCTGTACTCAAGACGATCCAAATCGACCACAGTGGTATTTACCAAGACAACAAAAATAGCAAGTGTGCAACCTCTATTACTTTGAGGTGGAGAGATACAATTGTCATGAAGAATTGAATGTCTGGTAGACACACTGAGAACTAATATTCAGAGAGACAAAAAGAAAATCGAAAAAAGCACTAGTGCTGGCCAGATATTTCTAAAGAGAGACATGGGGGCTAAAACTAGAAAATATTCATCGGTTAGAAGCACATGGTGGTTGAACTCTTGATAATATTCTTCAGAGACCAACGTCCTTGGGGTTTTTTACTTTTGTTTTTTGCTAATTGCCAATAAAACAAGATATCACCTTGGTAGGTCTTCAATAATCAACTGCTCTGGTCGAACATCTACAAGCAAGACAGGAGTCAACCAATACAAGACCAATATAAACACAATATTGCCGAGTATCAAGTGTTGCTAACTGTACAATAGCATAGACACCTTACATCCACGTAAAACATTACATTATTCACATTATTTCTATTCTACAACATACAATCATCTACAGTATCATCTACACAACACTATTTCTTTTTTCCAACTGAACTTTTCAAAGAATATGGTTCCCTAGCATACACCTCTTTCTCAAGAACAGTATGTTGTCGATTTCTTTGCTATTGCTTATGAGGTTTTGTGTCTTCCCTTTATTCAGTCGAAGGTTATTGGCAGAGAACCAAGCTTCCGCTTCAGTCATCAAGGTTTCAGCATTATCAAGAAGACGTGAAATGTTGCTGTTTGAACTGATGAAAGAAGTATCATCCGCAAATAGAACAATTTGACATTTCGTCCTCATGTGAACACATAGGTCATTAATGTAGATGATAAACAACAGGGGTCCAAGAACAGAACCTTGCGGTACTCCATGTTTTATGATTTTCAGTTCTGAATCAGAACTGTTGTTAAGATGGACAAACTGTTGTCTACCTTCTAAGTAAGACTTGAACAGGTTCAACGGCGTGCTTCTAATGCCATAGAATGTAAGTTTTTCTATTGAAAGTTCGTGTGAAACACAATCAAAAGCTTTGGAGAGATCACACATGGTAAGTACTGAATGACCATGTCTCTCCAAACCCTCGACTATGCTTTCTAAAATCTCTAGGAGGGCTTTTGTTGTAGATTTTTTTCTATGGAAACTGAATTGAGCTGAAGACAACAGTTCAAATCTCACACATGCATCTTCTGGCCACAGTAGAGGATCCATGGCTTCTTGTAAATTCTTTTCATAAATTCGAACTTTGAAAGATGAGTACAAGTCAGGATACTTAGGTACAAGAGCTTCAAAGGAAACCTCAGGAAAACTAGCTTTTAAAAATTTCGCTAAGGCTTCAGCTTCCGTGTTGGGTGCTATTCGGTAAACATGCAGGTCTACTTGTTTGGGTACACCTTGGAGTGAATTTGATGCCTTTGTGTTTTTACCAACAATAACTTTAGTCCGGGAAGGATTCATGCTTTGTTTTGTTTTTTCATTCTTCTTATGACTGACTGCTGTCCAGTCTTGCACAGATTTTGAACAGTGTGGATCACCCTCTATATGGATAATCTTATCCATGGTCAGTTTTGTTTGTGCCTGCAATAAACCAGCTGATAGTTTTTTTATACTTGTTTGGGAATTCCCTTATGTGAGGATGAGAAAGATAAGCAGTCCATGGATAACCAAAACCTAGCCCAGGAATTATGACAGACATGAACAAACCCTTTGAGTTTAAATGGGTGTCATGAAAAGTTCTTGACAAAATACAATTAACCCGTGGAACTGGCAAGTTAGATGAAACTGAAGTACTGTTAACCGTAGTTCAATGGTATCCGCTAGGATTCCTCATACACGCGTTTTCATTTTACCTAAAATTTTCCTGAATGATCACGTTCAGCGGAAATATAACAATTTTGTCGAGTGATGAGGCTCTATAATTTACAGGAATATTGGTGTAGTTTTGAAAACAAAAACTGTATCCCACATCAGAGTTGGTGTTTTGACAAAAATAAATTTTACTTTCTACATCTGAAATGTAAAGCAATACAAAATCATTTGAGCAGAAAGTAACTTTTGAGATTTTTTTGCACCCAATGGGTATTTCCACTTGTAACTGAAAAAATTGACCTCAATATTCAGTTTTTTTGAGCTCCAACCATTGACAGTAATCTTTCTTTGTTTTAGATCCAACCAACGACATGATGTCGTCCTACACCGTTACATCCCCACATAACATTAGGCCAATTTGAACAGGAAAGGACACGTCACCGGCCAAAATGAACGAACTGGTGCACATCATACAGCTGACAACTCAAACACCGAGGAACCTTTCCGACCTCAACGAAACCGCTTCGTTGGACCACATCAGGAACAGCTCAACCTACACGACATACTTCGACCGATCATGGCCCTCACACTCCTGGGCTTTGTGCTTCCTGGTAGCGCTGAAGCTCATCACGATGGCTATGATTATAGTGGCGGCGATGTTCGGGAACCTTCTGGTGATAGTGTCTGTGATGCGGCATAGGAAGCTGAGGGTTATAACGAACTATTTTGTGGTTAGTCTCGCGCTGGCGGATATGCTGGTGGCCATTTGGGCGATGTGTTTCAATTTCAGTGTGGAGCTCACTGGAGGACGATGGATTTTTGGGTATTTCATGTGCGATGTGTGGAACTCTTTGGACGTTTACTTTTCGACGGCTAGTATCCTGCATTTGTGTTGCATCAGTGTTGACAGGTATGTCAATTATTGGTATGGTTTCACTTGTTTGATTTCAATTGAGTTTTTGAACAATCTCAAGTTCAGACAGACTGAAGTAATAGTGGCAATAATAACTATCACCATTATTCAAGTTACTTAAAAAATGTAGATACAGCAGTAACATTCATGTGAATAGATTTAGACTTTATGTTCTACTTTATGTTTGCGGACGACGCGAAAGTATATCCAAGCTGTCGAATGCTGAAACTCAACAAGCATAACAGATATGTTCTGTTCTAAGATATAAAATACTAAAAAGTGTATACTCACCTTGGGGTGGAGTCGCAGAAGGTTATTGCAGAAAAGACCCCGCGAGTTTCAACACTGACTTTGGTAGCTCCAGTCATCAAGAAGTTTCTTGGGAACTTCTTTTGCGAAAGTTAGGAAAGTACATTCAAGCTGTCAATGAAAAAACATAAAAAACACAATAAAGATGTTCAGTTCTAAGACGAAGCATTCTAACCCTTCCTAGAGATTCATATTCAGCTATACTCACCTTGGCGTGGAGTCGCAAGAGGTAATTGCAGAGAAGACCCCTTTCCCGTCAAGTTTCAACACTGACTTTGGTAGCTCTAGCCATCAGGAAGTTCCTTAGGAACTTCTATTGCGGAAGTTATGAAAGTTTATCCAAGCTGTCGATGAAGAAACATAACAAACGAAACAAAGATGTTCAGTTTTAAGACGAAGCATTCTAAGCCCTCCTAGAGATTCATACTCAGCTATACTCACCTTGGAGTGGAGTCGCAAGAGGTAATTGCAGAAAAAACCCTTCCCCGTCAAGTTTCAACAAAGACTTTGGTAGCTAAAGTCATCAGGAAATTCCTTGGAACTTCCTGATTATATTATGAAATATTAGTTCGGGATAATGTAGATGAAGAAACATAACAAATACAACAAAGATGTTCAGTTTTTCAACACTGACTTTGGTAGCTCTAGTCATCAGGAAGTTCCTCGGGAACATCTTTTGCGGAAGTTATGAAAGTACATCCAAGCTGTCGATGAAGAAAGATAACAAACACAACAAAGATGTTCAGTTTTAAGACGAAACATTCTAAGCCCTCGTAAAGAATCATACTCAGCTATACTCACCTTGATGTGGAATCGCAAGAGGTAATTGCAGAAAAAACCCTTCCCCGTCAAGTTTCAATAAAGACTTTGGTAGTTCTAGTCATCAGGAAGTTCCTTGAAACTTCTTTTGCGGAAGTTATGAAAGTATATCCAAGCTGTCGATGAAGAAACATAACAAACACAACAAAGATGTTCAGTTTTCAGACGGAACATTCTAAGCCCTTCTAGAGAATCATACTCAGCTATACTCACCTTGGTGTGGAGTCGCAAGAGATAATTGCAGAAAAAACCCTTCCCCGTCAAGTTTCAACAAGGACTTTGGTAGCTCAAGTCATCAGGAAGTTCCTTGGAACTTCCTGATTATATAATGAAATATTAGTTGGGGCAATGTATGTGTCTATGGAGACTATAGGAAAAATTTTCTTCATCATCATCATGAAATGATTAGTTGCTTCTTCGTATTTTGACCAACGTCAAATATCGTATCAGATAATCCTGACACTGGTTAATTTTTTTCAGATACTACGCGATAGTCCAACCGTTGGACTATCCTCTGATAATGACCAATGTACGCTTGGTATTCATGCTAGCCGTGGTGTGGTGTAGCCCAGCGTTACTTTCTTTCCTACCAATTTTTATGGAATGGTACACAACCGCGGATCATTTGGAGTTCCGCAAGAAAAACCCGCATATCTGCACGTTCATAGTGAATCGAACTTACTCGGTGATTTCCTCTAGTGTGAGCTTCTGGGGGCCGGGCATGGTGATGATCCTCATGTATTACAGGATATATGTGGAAGCTGATCGACAGGAACGGATGTTGTACAGGTAATGCATAAAAGCTTTACTGGGTAATGGATTATGAATGTTTTAATGTCATTCTTTTTGCTACACGATTTTTTCATCAGTCGAACTAGTATATCAAATTATGCTACAATGTATTCTTTAAAATAATAATAATAATGTGTTTCCATTTTGTCAATCTAGTACACATATAATTTTTTTACATTTGGAAAATCAATTCTAATTCTAGGGCTGACGTCAAAGGCGAAGTCGAAATCGATAATTCAAAATTACCGATTTGTTCTACCACTCAATCTCATACAATTTTAACATCATAGAATATGCGTAGAATACATAAGTTAAAAAAAAAACTGTGACAGGAACTCTTAACAACTCAAGGATCTTAAATATATTATTGAGTATATCGTTTCCACAAAACATTCTCATAGTCATAGTCAAAACTAATCACATCCATTTAAAGGATTCCTGACGGTGAGTTGGTGGAAGCAAAATACTTCCTTGTTAAGTATATTGCTTCCACAGAACATCCTCATAGTCGTACTCAAAACTAATCACATCCATTCAAAGGATTCCTGACGGTGAATTGGTGGAGGCCAAAGACTTGCTTGGCTAAATATATTGTTGAACAATATATTCAGCCAATATATTGTACGCGGCTTCCTTGAATTTTCTCCTTAACCAATGTTCCTCACTATGTATGATCTCAGCTTGGGACCACTCGATGTTGTGTTGATGGGTCCAAACATGGTCTGCTATTCCTGATTTGCTGGGTTGAGAGATTCCAAGCCACGTTAGTTCACGACGTTTCGATTGTTAGTATCTGCAATCGTCTTCGGGTGATGACTGGACTGATTCCTCCGAGAGATGACTATTTATAGGTCGTTCGAGTACTTTCACTTATCCCCGCTTTCCATTTTCCGCTTCACTGGTTCCGTGGGAGACGACCGTTTTGGCAGGAGTTGGCCATTTTTCGCTTGATGATGGGTTTCCATATGTTGCGTATTTCTACGCTGGCTTGGCTGAATACGTTGTTGGACAACATGTATGCGGCTTCCTTGAATTTTCTCCTAAACCAATGTTCCTCTCTGTGTATGATCTCAGCTTGGGACCACTCGATGTTATGTTGATGGGTTCAAACATGCTCTGCTATTCCTGATTTGCTGGTTTTCCCTCGCTGTGTGTGTTTCTTGTGCTCGGCAATGCGAACATTCAATGGCCTCTTAGTTTCACCGATATAGGATTTTCCGCACTCGCAGGTTATCCGGTAAATGCAATTCTTGGAATCGCAGTCCGCGTTTGGTGGTCTGGTTTTCGTGAGGCTGCTACGGATAGTGTTTCCGGATTTGAAGCAGGTTCTGATGTTGTACTTGGAACCAATTCTTCTTATCCATTCCGATAGTCCTGTGATGTAGGGAATACAAGCACTGGTTGTGACGGCTTCGGCTTCTCTTCCTTGCGAAGCTCCTGCTGTCTTTTAAAGTCTGTTTCACCATCGCTTTGAAGTAACCATTTCGTTGAACATCATTTTTGATGATGTCTAGTTCCTTCTCGAGACCTTCCTTCTTATTACAGAACCCGAAAGCACGGTCTAATAGAGTCTTGATGATTCCTCTTTAAGTCGATGGATGGTGTTTGGATTCTCGGTTCTGATACTGTCCCGTGTGGGTGAGTTTTCGGTATACAGATGTTTCCCACTTAGTGTCGGTCCTCTTCACTAAAACGTCTAAGAATGACCATTCATTGTGGATTTCCTTCTCCATTGTGAAAGTAATGAAAAGTCTCATGCTGTTGATGTGTTTCAGGAAGGCGTCTAGTTCAGTATTCCCATGGTTCCATATTATGAAGGTGTCATCAACATATCTCAACCAGACTCGAGGTTTCTTGTGGGATTTTTCAATGGCTAGAGTTTCAAACCACTCCATATATATGTTGGCTAGTACTGGTGGGAGTGGCAGTCCCTCATCTTGTGTAAACAATTCGTCCTTCAGTTGGAAATAACAGTTTCGTACACAACATCCTAGTAATCACATAATTGCCTATCTAGGTAAATTCGTTCTATCTTTCAGGTCCTTGACTTCGGATAGCTTCCTCTGTATGATTTGGAGTGCTTCTTCGACCGCAACGTTGGTGTCAAGGCTTTCCACGTCGAAACTAATTAGTAGGTCTTCCTGTGTGACTTCAATTGCCCCTAGTAGCCTTGAATCCTTCACAAAAGACGATGTTTGTCCTTGTAATGGTTGTATTATGGGGGGTAAACCTCTAGACAAGTTTTGAGTATCCAAATCTCTAGAACTGATGATCTGTCTGAGCTGAACGTCCTTCTTGTGGATTTTGGGTAGTCCATACAAGTGAGGGGGCTTACTGTAGTGCGGTGTTAGCGATGATCTCTTCTTGTCCGAAAAATAGACTTCAAAATCTGGTACAACTTCCTTTCAATTGATGCAGTAAGGTCCCGTACGATCTCCGTGTATTGTGCCTTCTTAAGAACCTCTTCGATCTTCTGTTCGTAGAGAACAGTATCCATCATCACAGTAGCGTTTCCTTCACCTGCAGGTAGGATCTTGATGGTATTGTCTCAACGTAGGCCGTTCAGAGCTCTATGTTCTTCACTGCTGATGTTTGATGTTGGAACTGGTTCTCGATCAGGGATTTCAAATCATTTTATATGATATCAGACAATGGAAGTCCGAACTAATGAAATTCATCATGAAACATTGTCAATCACTTTCAAACAAACTTCGTTATGATTATTCTGTAAAATAAGCATCCTTCATGCAGCCGCCTACGCATTGCCATATTCAACCAACCCGTCTCAACCAATTTGTAAGAAATACTTCCTTACGCTCCTTGAATGAGACGTAAACATGAGTTCGGAATCCTCTGGATTCATTTGCTCGTATGCTCTCATTAAGCAGGGATCGTACACTGAATCAGCAAAGTTCAGGGTAGACAAAACAAGACTATCACATAACATTATTATTGTTGCCTTTGTAAGAAAGTTTCTATTTCCATGAAGAATCGTAGGAGTTCCATAAGCCTTTCGAAAAGTTTTTTACGTGGGTTTCGAATCTAAAATCACTTTTTAAAATAAGCTTCAGACTTTTCGTTTGATTCACAATCGACAGGTCTTTGTCAAGAAGTTTTATTTTTATTTTGTCTCCAATTATCTCGCTGACAGTTTTTGGCCCAAATAAAAAAACACTTGGCTGTTTTGGGTTGTTAACTAGACAATGATCAGTTGCAGTTTCAACTAAATCATTGATGTCTTTATTACCTTGTACACAAGCCATATTAGAGTCTTCAGGTTTGAAAGAGTTATAGATCTGATAATAATAATAATGAATGGGCTTTATTTATTGATATACATTGTTTATAAAGAAGAAGTACATATAAAAATCAATGAAAGTGCCGAGGCTGTTTTACAACTTAACTTAGGGGATAGCATGTATTATATAAAAATGATGATGTGGTGCTGCAGATTTTTCCGGGTTTTCCTGCAGCTGAAAAAGCAAATGCGCCACTGGAATCAATGAAGTCGCCCCGGAGCGCCAATTAATTTTTATTGTTGTTTCTATTTCATTTTCATCGTTGTTTTAATAAAATGTATAGAAATATAAAAATAATTACCTAGTATACATTGGTGAGTTAGTAGTTCATGACTCTTTGTAAAACTAAGAAAGAAACAAAGGTTATAAATTTCAAAGAAAATATTAAAAATCTATTCAGCTTAAAATAGGTAAAATATATAGCAAAACATACACAAAAGTGAGACAAAGGAAAAACCATATGAGCAGGCATAAAATGAATATATTATCTATCCAGAAGACTTCAGATATGTTTTCAACTTTTTCTTGAAATTATATATGAAATAGTGTCTAAATTCACTGGGCAGAGCGTTATATTGTTTGATATAGTTGTAAATAAAACTACGAGAAAAGCAGGCTGTCTGGTTTATTGGAATATTAAAAGTGTGACGGATTCGTGTCCTCGATTATTCTGAGATTTGAAAGTTTTGAATCTTTCATAAATATAATTTGGCTTTCTGTAAATGAGGAATTTATGTGTATTGACGAGTAGGTGGAACTGCCAGGTTTTAGCAATCGGTAACCAACCCGACTCCTCGAACTTGGGGGATATATGGTCGAATTTTCTCACACCATAAGAAAGACGAATGCAATTGTTTTGTATTTTTTGTAAGCGATTTACATCAATTTGTATCAAAGCAGGCCCGTAGATTATATGGCCATATGCTAATCTAGACAATATGAGTGTTTCGCAAAGTTTCAACTTCAATTTGAAAGTCATAATATCTTTACTTTGATAGAGTTGACGTAAGATACTGTACGAGCTACGACAAAGTAAATTTATATGGTTGTGAAATCTTAGATCAGCATCTAGTCACAAACCCAAGTTCTTGCTTTCTGTGATTATTTGTAGTAAGTCTTGTCCAAGTTTGATTTCGTCTGCGTATAAATTAGAAACACAGTGTGCAAGGGAGCTAACGAGCTGGCTGATATAAGTAGAAAAGATTAGTGGACCTAGGATTGAAACTTGTGGCACTCCTGACACCTACTATCACAGTCTGATATTTTCCCCTTAGATAATTATTAAAGAATTCAACACCATCTTCAGATATTTCAATGTGATGCAAAATTGACATCAGTATGTCATAGTTTATAGTGTTTGTTTGAAGGTGGTTGACAATGTTTCGTGGTGTATTTCATCAGTTCGGACTTCCATAGTCTAATATAATATAAATTGATTTGACAACCCTGAAAATGAATTAAAAAGATCAATCGAAAATAACAATTTCATTAAACAAAAAACTGAAATTACAAAGAAATAACATACAAGCAACAACCAAACAAATAAAAATTGAAATATTAATAAAAGCTGAAAATTAAAAATATTATTAACAAAAAACAATTAATAGATTTCTATTACGTATCTCTACGCTAGCTTGAGTAAATGCGTTGTTGTACAACATATACGCGGCTTCTTTGAACTTTCTCCTAAACCAGAGTTCCT